GTTATGAACTGGGATCCTCTGCCTTTGAGCCCTACAGTAAACTAGACCGCAAAGGAGGCAGCCCTGGATGCAGCAGCAAGAAAGCTAACACTTAAGACTCCCACGTGTGTGTGTGTGTGTGTGTGTGTGTGTGTGTGTGTGTGTGTGTGTATGTGTGTGTGACACTCTGGACACTCCAGTCCCCAGCACAGCACTGCCCAGCCTCCCAGTCCCAGCCAACTGCACTGAGCAGGCCCTGAAGAGGAGGGATGGCAAACCACATGTCCTCCTCATCTGCCCCCAGCTCAGAGACTTGACCAAATGGCCTTGGTCCCCGCAGAGTGTGTTTGTGTGTGTGTGTGTGTGTGTGTGCGCACGCGCGTGTGTATGTGTGTGTGCACAAGTGTGTGTGTTTATGTGTATGTGTATGCGTGTAAGTGCAGTGTGCATGGGTGTCTCTCACTGAAATAAAGGAAAACTATGAAAAGAAAGGAACCAGTCCCCACAGCACCATCTAACTTTGTTCAATTTCTGCCCTCACTGCGAAGGAAAAATAGGCTAAATCAAGGGACTCAAATGAGAGGGGGGACTGGAATGTGGGATTCAAGCTGGGTGAGACATTCGCGTGTGAATCCACAGGCTCCTAACTCCTACTCCCAATGGAGCATGCACCTTAGCACCCCCATTGCCACCACAATGCAACATTGCTGTCTTTGGTTAACCATTACCCTAGACAAGCTTCTCTTTCAAAAACTTAAAAATATGTTGGGCACTGGTGGCTCACACCTGTAATCCTAACTACTCAGGAGGCTGAGATCTGAGCACCGCAGTTCAAAACCAGCCCGGGCAGGAAAGTCTGTGAGACTCTAATATCCAGTTGCCCATCAGAAAACCAGAAGTGAACCTGTGGCTCAAAGTGGCAGAGTGCTAGCCTTGAGTAAAAGAGATCAGTTACAGCATTCAGGCCCTGAGTTCAAGCCCACAACCAATTGAAGAAAGAAAGAAAGAATAAAAGAAAGAAAGAAGGAAAGAAAAATAAAGAGGCAAGAGAGAAAAGAAAGGAAGAAAGAAAGGAAAGAAAGAAAGAAAGAAGGAAGGAAAGAAAGAAAGAGGGAGGGAGGGAAGGAGAGAAAAAGAAGGAAAGAAAGAAAGAAAAAAAAGAAGGAAAGAAAAAAATAAGCTATCCAAGACTCTTATCTCCAATTTACCCACAAAAACCTTGAAGTGGAGCTGTGGCTCAAAGTGGTAGAGCCCTATTCTTGAGCAAAAAAGTTCAGGGACAGTACCAGGCCCTGAGTTCAAGCCCCATGACCAACAACGACAGAAAATGTGGCTTAGTGGTGGAGTGCTTGGTAGCATGCATGAAGCCCTGGGTTTGATTCCTCACTATCACAGAAACAGAAGAAGCCTGAAGTGGCTCTGTGGCTCAAGTGGTAGAGTGCTAGCCTTGAGCAAAAGAAGCTCAGGGACAGTGTCCAGGCCCTGAGTTCAAGTACCAGGACTGGAAAGAAAGAAAGAAAGAAAGAAAGAAAGAAAGAAAGAAAGAAAGAAAGAAAGAAAGAAAGAAAGAAAGAAAGAAAGAAAGAAAGAAAGAAAGAAAGAGAGGAGGGAGGTGGGAGGGAGGAAGAAGGGAAGGAAGGCAGGAAAGAAAGAAAGAGAAAAAGAAAGAAAGAAAAGAAAGAAGAGAAAGAGAAAGGAAGGAAGAAAGAAAGAAAGAGAGGGGGGAGGTGGGAGGGAGGAAGAAGGGAAGGAAGGCAGGAAAGAAAGAAAGAGAAAAAGAAAGAAAGAAAAGAAAGAAGAGAAAGAGAAAGGAAGGAAGGAAGAAAGAGAAAAAGAAAGAAAGAGAAAGAGAGAGGGAGGAGGGAAGGAAGAAGGGAGGGAAGGAAGGAGGGTGGGAAGGAGGGAGGGTGGGAGAGAGAAGGGAGGGAGGGAAGGAAGGCAGGAAAAAAAGAAAGAGAAAAAGGAAGGAAGAAAGAAAGAGAAAGAAATAAAGAAAGAAAAGGAAGAAAGAGAAAGAAAGAAAAGGAAGGAAGGAAGGAAGCTAGGCACTAGTAGCTCACATTTGTAATCCTGAGGAGGATCTAGGTTTGAAGCCAGCCCAGGCAGAAAAGTCTGAGACTCTTCTGGTGTAATTCAAGTAGTAGAGCTTCATCCTTGAGCAAAAACAAGCTAAGGGACACTGACTGCCCAGAACCTGAGTTCAAGCCCCAGTACCAGCACAAAACAAACAAAAATACTTAAGCTGGGCAGCGATGGCTCACGCCTGTAATCTTAGCTACTCAGAAGGCAGAGATCTGAGGATCACCGTTCAAAGCCAGCCCTGGCAGGGAAGTCTATGAGACTCTTATCTCCAATTAACCACCAGCAAACTGAAAGTGGTGTTGTGGCTAAAGTGGTAGAATGCTCACCTTGAGCTGAAGAGCTGAGGGACAGTGCCTAGGCCCAGAGTTAAAGCCCCAAAATTGACAAAAAATCTTAATGGGGAAGGGAGCATTTAATCTTTTAAGAGGGTGGACAATGCAGGATGAGACCAGATTCTAGAGTGGGAGAGAAGACATCCAAAAGAGAAACAAACCCAGGCTCTAGTATTTGCCCATTGCCAACACTGCCACACCAGTACTCAAAAACTTTTTTAGGGGGCTCAAGACACTTTCATTTAACTTTTTTTGGGGGGGGTTGGTCATGGGGCTAGAACTCTGGGCCTGGGCACTGTCCCTCAGCTCTTCAGCTCAAGGCTAGCACTCTACCACTTGAGCCAAAGCGCCACTTCCAGCTTTTTCTGTTTATGTGGTGCTGAGAAATCAAACCCAGGGCCTCATGCATGCAAGGCAAGTACTTTACCACTGAGCCACCTTCCCAGCCCTCATTTAACTTTTATTGCATAGATGTACAGGAAGTTGCAAAGATTCACTCAATTTCTCCCAATGGCTGCAACTCCATAAAGAGCTTAAAATCAAACCAGGAAACAGATCTTTGCATAGTACATAGTTCCATGTTATTTTGTCACTTGTGTTGATTTATGGAATCATCATGTACTCAGGATGCAGGACTTTTTTTTTCTTGTGCCAAACCTGGAACTGTCCCTGACTGTTTTTTTGCTCAAGGCTAGAGCTCTACCCCATTGAGCCACAGCTCTACTTATGGCTTTTTTGGATGATTAATTGGAAATAAGAGTCTCATGGAGTTTCCTGCCTAGGCTGGCTTGAAGCCTAGGTCTCAATCTTCTGAGTAGCTAGTACAACAGGGGTGAGCCACCAGTGCCTACCAAGATGTAGAATTTTTGCTTCAACAGAAATACCACCCGAGTGGGGCTGGGAAGTTGGCTCAATGGTAGAGCACTTGCCTTGCATGCATGAGGCCCTGCGTTCAATTCCTCAGCACCACATAAGCAGAAAAAAAGCTGGAAGTGGCACTGTGGCTCAAGTGGTAGAGCACTAGCCTTGAGCTGAAGAGCTGAGGGTCAGTGCCCAGGCCCAGAGTTCAGGCCCCACAACCGGACCAAAAAAAAAGAAAAGAAAAGAAATAGCACCCTAGTGGTACCCCTTCACATCTAACTCCTGCCCTGCCTTTTTTTTGGTGGTGGTACAGGAGATTGAACTCAGAGCCTCTGCCTTGTTAAGTGGGCACTTTACTTCTCAAGCCACACCCCTGACCTCTTGGTTTAGTTATTTTTCTGGATAGGGTCGCCCTTTTTTTTTTTTTTTTTTTTTTGCCCAGGCTGGCCTCAATCCTCAACCCTCCCAATCTTTGCTTCCTGAGAAGCTGGGATTACAGGCTGAGCCAACACTCCCAGTCATCACCAGGAGATGTCTTGGACCTAAATCCAAGACTTAGAATGGATCCTCAGCTGGAGAATCCAGATGAAGCTGGGACTGTGATGGAAAAGACAAGCACTGCCGACAGCTCCAATGTGCTCTGGGAATACACAGCTGTCAACTGGGTTTCAGATTGGCCACCCCCTCTGGGTCACTCAGAATGGAAATGTAGGGAATAGTGATTCCTCCATCATCGTGCTGCACCCAACCCTCTGCATGGTGGCATAGTTTGGGGAAGTGCTTAGAAATGCAGGCGTCTCGAGTGTAGGCGAGGCACAGGGTGGCTGTGGAATTTGTCCAGCCATCTCAGCCTCCCCTCTGCCTTGCTTGCCACACCTGTGTTATGCTCCACTAGCCCTGATGAAAGCATCCCACTTTAGCTGCCCAGCATAAAGAGGGTTCTGGGAAGCCATGGTGGGGTCCAGGCTTCAGGCACAGACATAGCTTGATCAGTAACTCAGAATATTTACATACATGATACTGGGATGAGAATGTCAGGTGCTTGTAGGGGACCTTGCAGATTTTTTTAAAAGTAATTCAGGGTCCAGAGAGGGGGGGGGGAGGGAGGGAGGGAGGGAGAGAAACTGGAAATTTTCATTGACTGGGTTCAGATAGAGAAACTAGCCCTGCTTCTCAGAAAGTTCTCACTAACACACGGCACAAAGGCTTAAGGAGACCCAGGGTGATAGGAGAGACACAGGTTTCATGGGGGGAGGGGGAGGGATGGCACAGCTACCTGCCCTATGGAGTCAGGTGCATGGTGAATCCTGAATCAAGGCTAGAGGAGGATCCAGGGAAGACTTCCTGTAGGAGATGATGGTGATACAGAAGTTGACCGGAGGATGCTTCACAGATGACGATGGAATAAGGAATAGCCAGGTATTGGCAGGCAAAGGGGTGCAGAGGAAGGACAGGTTGGAAGGACACTGAGGAGAGAAGGGGGAGGAGCTGGAGGGAGTTGTGGGCTGCAGGGCAGCCACGCATAAAGGTTAGAAAGTTATTTCCCCCCTCTGCTCTTCTCCTTGCCAGCCTCTAATTGCCTGATGACCGGCTACCTCCAGTCTGCCCAGCTTGTATGTGGAGAAAGCTTTGGAGCTGGCACGCAGCCCTGGGCTTCCCTGTTTACAGTCAACCTAGGGGAGGAGTGCAGGGGGAAAGGGAGGAGAAGGAAGAAAGGGGAGGGGTGGCCACAGGCACACAGGCTGGGCAGCCCGCTCCAGCTGCAGCTGGGCCTCAAGTCCTATAACTGCCACCAGCTTGCTTGGACACCAGGCACTGAGTCCCAGACTACTGCATGCCATGGCCATGAAGGTAGACAGCAGGCCAGGGGGCCTCCCTGGCAGTAGCTGTGATGTAAGCATGGCCCGAGAGCATACGCAAGCCGTCACTCGCAACTACATCACCCACCCCCGCATCAGTGAGTATGAGAGACCAGCCCTGAGCCTGGGGTGGGAAGCTGGAGTGGGAGGCTGGGACTCACACTTCTTGCCTCAGGAAAAAAAGGAGACCTGAGGTGACCAGAGGGCTCTGGGACGGCCTGTACAATAGCCACCCTAGCAGGTGGAAGGATGGAGCTCTCAGCCTGGGCTGAGAAAGCTTCAAGGAACTTCCATAGAGTGAAAGAGTGTATGTGTGCGTGCTCCGAGTGTGCATGAGTGTGTGTGGGTCCATATGTGAGAGGAATATGCACCAGAACACGTAGCATGAGGAAGAATCTGATCAAATGTGGTGCTGTGTGGGACAGTGAAGAACACATGAGTGTTCTTGGCATGTTCTTGGTGCCCTGTGTGCCAATGGCTGCCCATATTATGTGAGGACAGAAAGGATGTCTGTGGGCAGCAGTGGGTACAGGCACTGCCCTTGGGGAGAGGAAGTATATAAAAAGGGTGAAGCCGGGGGGGGGGGGGACGGGGTATGTCCAGTGTGCTTGAGTGTGTGTGTATTCAAGGGGAGTCCATTTGAGCTACTGGTCAGACAATATTGCATGTCTAAGCAGTGTGTATGTGTGTGCATGTGGGTGCTTGTATGGGTGTGTGTAAAATTGGGATAAGAGTATGTGTATGTAAGTGTCGCAGCACCTATATGCTTACAATGTAATGTGTAGGTACACCTATATGCACCCCCTGTGTGTTGCTCCTGTGCCTGTTCTGCAGGGGTGGCCCAAGGCCAGATGTTTGGGGGCAGAGACCAAGAAATCATGCCAATGTCTAGAAGACTAAAGGGAGGGGAAGTATCCCTCTGTGTCTCCTTGTCCAAGGTCACTCTGGCCTGGTTAATTCTGATGGCCCAGTTCACTGGAGTAAACCAGCCCGACCAGCCCTTGCTCAGCAGAGCCAGAGGCTCTTAATGGGGTTTGGGGGTGAGAGGGGGTGGATCTGACATAGCCACCCCTAGTTCCTGCCTCCCATGGTGGGGGGTGAACATTGAGGGGAACACAGAGCACCCAGCAAGCTGGCCCAAGCAGAAGGAAGGAAAGACATGGGTGTGCGTGCAGCTCCTGCTGAAACTGACAGGCGCAGGAGGACAGAGCAAATTCCAGTAGAGAAAAATGAGACGGGGTGGGGGGTGGGGGAGAGAATTGGGGAAGGTTGGACTGGGTTTTTCAAGGAAACCCAGGCCACAGGCCCTATTTTGTAGAGGGGCGGGGGGGGGGGAAGTCTGGACACCCCACCAAGAATATGCTGGGGTCTCAAGTCCCAGTAATAAGTACTCATGGAGCTGGGGAGACCCTATTGTATCCAGAGCTCAGGCCTGGAGTGGGAGCTGGGAGGCTGACCCCTATGATAACTGAACCTTCAGCCCAGCTGTCCCACCCGTGGGCATAGGAGAATGGCATAGGGTGGGAGGGGCAGTGGTCTGGACCTACAGGTTCTGCCTTCCTTCTGGAATGTACCCTAGCTGGGATCCAGCCTACACCACCTCACTGGCCCACCTCTTCCTCCAGGCAGAGTGCTCAGGCCAGGAGCAGCCTCCAGCCAGTTCTTCCCATCCAGCTTCCTATTTACAGTCAACACCCTGGATGCTGACCCCAGCTGGAACTGGTGGGGGGGAGCCCGGAGGGCAGGGGTTTGAGGCCCTAACCCTCACATTTGCAGGCCTCTTGTATGGAGGCTTCAAGTGATGGCTCCATGTGATCCCCATCACTATTTTATACTCTTCAGCATAAAAGGAGACTAATGTCCCTTTCTGACCTCTTGCCTTATATTCTCTGCCATCCTGGGAGTCTTAAACACTCCCCAAGGCTGAGAAATCCAGAGACCTAACCCAGGAGGCCTGCTGAGGGACCAGAGGGCCCAGGCCCCAGGCTAGTTTGGGTGGAAGTGAGCCTTGAGCAGCTAGAGAACTCTTGTTACTCCCAGAGAAGGTGGACTCATCTTAACAGAGGCTGGAAGAACCATGTCAGCCCTGTGGCTGAGAGAGAGGAGTGGCCAGAAAGGAGGAGCAGCACAGAATTAAAATGGAGGATGGCTCAATAAATAGCCATCCTGGAAAAGAAAGGTCCCCTTTGTTCCCATGAGGTTCCCTCAGGGGATTGGCCCAATTGGGAGAAGGTGCTTGGAGTCTCATTTCATGGCTGGAGCAAGGTTGCTGGACTGAGGGAGATGAGGAAACTGAGCCTGAGCAAAGGTTCTGAAGGACACGCTGGCAGCCTGGTTGGAAGCAGGGAGCCAAGGCAGATTTTCTAGGGGCTGATACCATGCCACTGGCTTTGCTGTCCTGCCGGTTGCCTAAACTGAAAGGAGAGGAAGTTCCAGGACAGTCCCCATCAGCAGAATCATGGGCTGATTCGAAGACCCCCAGCTTCCAGTGCCTGCCCTCCTTCCCCTAATCCTTCCAGCTGAGAGGAGGTTGAGGACCTGCTGCCCCCAGCTCACCCCCACCCTGGCCTCACGCAGGGGCGCCTGCTCCCAGACGCTGCAGGTGTGGCTGGGCCAGCGCTAATTAGTGGGCCTTGCTGGAGCCCTGCTGCGTCTTTGACAGGGAAGGCGGCAGGGAGGTGGGGGTAGGGAAGGCTCCGCCAGCCAGCAGCCCAAAGCACAACCCAAAGTGTCAGCTAGGACAATGGAGAGGGGGTGGACAGAGCAGCTGGGAGGAGTGTCTGCTAAGTCTGGAGAAAGCCCATTGAGGGAGTGCCCTTCAGGTCATTTGCCCAACTCTCTGCAGACAGCTCTGCACCCTCCCTTCCCTCTCTAGGGTCAAGGGGGACATCCTGGGGGCTGGGCAGTGACCATAGTCCCTTAAGACCACAAGATACTGCCCTGAATTACATAGGAGAAATCAGCCAAATTTCAGAGCCTCAGTTTGCCTCTCCATGCAATGGACACACCAGGTCAGAGTTTTACAACCAATGGAACTATCTGTGTCTAGCTAGGTTGGATAAATAATTAACCTGTGTCAATTAGCTGACTGTGTCTGTTCCTCTAGGGTACCAGTCTGTGGTGCTGAGTCTTAGGAGAGAGGATAGGGAAGAGAGGCTGCAAGAGACAGTTTGGGATGAGGCCTTATGTATGTGAACAGTCCAGTGCTGAGCCCAACAGGGGCATTTCTGCAATGAAGGCTCCAGACTGTGGAACAATGGCCTCTTCCAGCCACTCTGAATCCTCACTAGAGCTGGGCACTGGGCAGCTGAAGCTGGGGAAAGCAGCTCACACAAGAGCGCCTCCTGCTGGCCACTGTGTGATCTGGGCTGGTGGAAGCATCTGAGCCTGGCCACAGGCACCAGTCAGCAGCCCTTGGGCTCCTGCAAGAAAGAGCAGCTCCTTTTCCTCCTGAGGAAAGGGTGTGGATCCTTTAATCCCATAACCTCCACCACCTCCTCCCTTGCCCTCCCTCTGGGGAGACTTGCTGGGCACTGGGTAAACTGGGATTTCATGTGACAAAGACTGGGAAGTAGAGGCACAGCCATGAGTGAAGGGGAAAAGTTGAAAGACCTGTCTCCCTTGGTGGTGAAATTGGAAGTGATTTCCTGGGGCCCCTTCCACAGGGCCCCACAGGGCCCTCACTTTGGCCCACCCACCCTGTGTCTTTTTACCCAGGTTCACTGCTTTCTTCCTCCACCTCCCCTTTCTTCTCCTCTGGCTGGAGTTTTCTCCATGAGGCCGGCAAAATACCAGCTCTTTGTGATGCTTTAAAACGTGCAGGTCTCTCCTGTGTTAACCTAATCCTGCTTCTGATTTTCTCTGTGCCAGGCTCACCTGCAGAGTCTTCAAAATCCAGGCAATTTGATCAAAACACCATGTATGTAGGCAGGAGGGAATAGATGGAGCCTGGTGATCCCCCCTCCCCACCTTGAGACTTGGGGATGCCCGGTCTCTGTCAGCCACTCCGCCTCACCCGAGGTCTATCAGGGCCTGCCGCCTCCCCTAGCACTATGCATGATATTCATCTCTCCCACCTCTCTGTCACAGAGTAGGCAAGAACTAGCAGTGTGGCTCCTTAGGCTGGCCAACGGGATCCTCCTTTGGTTTGGGGGCCAGGAAGGAGGGGCCACGGATGCTGATGGGATTTAGTGAAGTTAACAGAGGGAATCAGCCAATGCCTTCCATAAGTCATCCCACAAGTGTTTCTTGAATGCTTTCCATTTGCCAGCTGTGTTCTGGAAGGCAGGTATGACGGTAAGCTCCACAGCAGATCTCTCCACAACGTCTTCCAGCACTGAAGCCAGCCTGTGTGTGTCATAGGCTGTGCACCAAGTGAGAGGTCCTTTCACCTCTGAGCTGCACTCTATGCTTCCTGTGCCCTGACCCCAACACCCTCGCTCTGCATGGAGAACTCTCCTGAAGCAGGGAGCTCTAGAATGGCCTTTCCCTCCAAGTTTCTTTCTGGAGCACCTAGTCTTGTCCCAGGTCCATCTCTCAGCCTTCCTGTTCTTTCTCTTCTTAGCACCTTCCGCTATTTTTTTTTCAGATTGAAAGCTCCAAATTCGATTTATCACTTTTATTTCATGCAATAGATTTGAGCAAAGTGCCTGAAGACAGGAAGAGAGGAGGAGGGAAGAAGGAAAGCAGATCCCAGGAGGGAAAGAGAAGTGAGAAAATAGAAACTGTAGGATGTTACAGAGGGATGTGGCGGGGGGAGGGGGGGTGTCTTCCATGGAGCCTGAGGAGGAGAGAGGCCTCCCCAGAAGAGAAAAATGCACCCGGCCTCAAGTGGCATGTCAGGGCCACCTTGGATGAATCCATTGGCTGACAATGGTGGCTTAGAAAGAAAGCAGGCCTTGGAAGCCAAGAGTGGAAGGGGTTGAGACTAGGGGAGGAGGTGGGGAAGAGAAGAAAATTGTTAGAGACCAGCCAAAGGTCTGGTCTCTAAAGCCAGCTAAGAGGTTTTGGAGGATAAGGGATATAAGAACCCTGAGTGGGAAAGACTTTGATGCAGGGGACGGACTTGCCTAAGACAAAGATGGGGCCTCCTCCCTGGGAATCCAGAGGAAGGGGAGAGGGAGGCTGTGAGTACTGAGTCTGTAGTGAGATACTCAGGCAAGGAACATCTCCCCATGCTCTCCTTGGGCCCTGAATTTTGCAAACAGTCCTCACACTTGTCAATCCTCATAAAGCTCTGTGCAGGGGTCATCTTTCCTAGTCTGGCTTCATGTTCCACATCCTGTAAAAGAAGCTTAGATCAGACAAAAGTAAGGGGTTGGGCTACAGAGGTCCTGGCCAAGAAGGGTGTGAGTTCCTGTTGGGACAGAGTGGCTTGGGGCCAGGTATGCTCAGAAGCAGAAGAATGAGAGAGCTATTGAACCAGTATGGGCTCATGGGAAGCCAAGATGGGGACCCAGCTCCATCTCTACCATAAGCTGACCCTGGGCCAGGCTAATGCTCATTTTCCTTCCCTTCCTTCTGTGGTGTTACATCTGTAGAAGGACCCAGCTCCTCCCAGTACCCTGCCCATCTCCCCTTTGTAAATTCCATTGTCTTAGTTGTATTGTTGGTAAGCTACAACCCCCCAGGGAAAGACTAGGGGATCCCAATGCTACAGGCAAAGGGCCATGCCAATTCTCTCAGCTAGTCCCTGGCAGAACCAGAGCTAGGCTTCTTGGCTGCCAACCCATGGTTGCCTCTCACAGAGCAATGTTTCTTGATATCTAAGCTAATCCAACACTGTAAGCTGAGCTCATTCTCATTTGTGCGTCTCTCCAGGCACTGGATCTGTGGACATTTCTTCCTCCTTCCTTTTCACTCCCTCCCTTCTCTTCTCCTTACTGGGAAAACCCAGTGAGCCAGGGAGTCTGGGAGCCTCCTCACCACTGCCTGACCAGGGCCTGGTGGTGACAACAGAGGCCCTGTTGGTGTATTCATCCCCTATGGTACCTGATGAGTGCACAGGGGGGAAGGAGGATCTGGAGAGGGGCAGAAGAGGGCACTTGGCCACATCTGAAACCAACAAGCTTTTAGGAAATATAAGTCAGAGAGGCCTTGGCGGGGTGGAGGGTGGGGGATGTGCTGAGGCCAAAGGGGAAACCACATGAAGAGGAAAAGGGCCTCAGCAGGGCTGGGGAGGTCTCTGAGGAGGCCTCTGCCCTTGCCCACCCTCCCCCAGCCTCCTGCAGGTGTCCAGAGGCAGCAGGGGCCCTGCAGGCAGGGGCATGACCCTTACAGCAATGGTGACTGGCCCTGTCACAGCTAATGACCCTGATGGCCCAAACTAGGGAGGAGGTAGGGGTGGGTAGAGGGAGGAATGGCAGAGGATACCTCTGTCTCTCTCTCTCTCTCTCTCTCTCTCTCTCTCTCTCTCTCTCTCTCTCTCTCTCTCGCTGGTGTGTGTGTGTGTGTGTGTGTGTGTGTGTGTGTGTGTGTGTGTATGCACGCACATGTGCTCTGGAGTCAGAACTGGGAGGGGTGTAATAGGTAAGACCCTCATTACCTTTCTAATCCCCCAGCCTACAGGACTGTGTGCAGTGTCAATGGGCCTCTGGTGGTGCTGGACCAGGTCAAGGTAAGACTCTTGTGCTGTTTTCCTAGTACCAAGGCTGAATTCCAAGACCCCCACTCCTCACAGGATTTCTCCTAACTGCCTTCCCCTAGGTAGCCCACAAGGACTGTCTCAATCTTCCTGGCCCCGTTCACATCTCCCACTTCCACATTCTCCTGCCCTGCCTATGCCCCCAGGTAACCAAAGTTTCTCCTTCCCAATTTTGTGGATGGAGAGAGACTGTAAAAACCACAAATAGCCAAGCACTGGCAGCTCATGCCTATAATCTTATTCAGGATAATGAGATTTGAGGATTGTGGTTCAAAGCCAGCCTAGGCAGGAAAGTCTGAGACTCTTATCTCCAATTAACCATCAAAAAATCTGAAGTGGAGATGTAACTTAAGCAGTAGAGCACTAGCCTTGAGCACAAACACTAAGGGACAGTGCCCAGGCCCTAAGTTCAAGCTCCAGGAGTAGCACGTGCATGTGCACGTGTGCACACACACACATACACACACATCATTGTAGAGCAATAGTTCTGGGTCTTGGGAAATGTGCTTCTCCCCTGATGGGTGGGCTAACCTGGTCTAATTGTGCCTCATTTAGAGGGTATTACTTGTGCCTGACTTCCTTGACAGCTGGGCTCTTCCCCGCAAGAAGAGGCTAAGGCTGGTCTACTTCTCAGGAGCTTGGTGGCCTTTGGACCATCTCAGTGTCAGAGCCAGCCCTTTGGGTGGGAAGTGAGGGCCAGTGGGATGGAAGCTATCCTCCCCCACCCTCAGGAACTGCAAAGACGGGCAGACACCAGCAGGATTTCCAGTGAAGTGGAGTGATTAGGGGCCTGGCGGAGGTCAAAGTGATCTTCAGCACACTGCTTTTCTTCTTCAGTCAACTGATTCCCAAACCCAGACCTCCCACCTCATCCCCAGCAAACCAGAGCAAACCAGAACTGAGTGCCACTCTTGAACTCTCTCATCCTAGAACCCATTCTGCCAGTGCCCACGTTTCATCAGCTCCATCTCTCTCACCAATACTCGCCATGGCACTGGCCCGTGAGTCTCAATCTTGGGCCCTCCCATCCTCTCTCCACCTGCAGCATTCAGACCTGAGCTCTTGGACTTCTTTGCTTCCAGCCCCTTCTCACAGGCCTCCTCTTGTGGTCTCCACTCTCTTTTTCCATTTAGAAACCCACCTGTCTCTGCCTACAGCTACCTCATGATGCCCCTGGACTTTAGCACTTATTTTCCCCCCTGCCTCCTAGGCCACCCTAACCCTGTTCTATTTCTGACTTATCCTTGGGACTGAGAGCTCCCCTTCCCCTGGATGCCTCCCTTAGCCTCCTGGGCATCAGCCTTCCTCCTCTCCACTTTCTGTAGCCTTATTGACAATAAACATTTGAGGCTGTGGGTCATGAGCTTGTCACAAGTCTCTTCCCTGCTCCCTGCATTGTGTCCTCCTATTGGGCACTGTATTTTATTTAATCCTTAGTTCCAGGACCCAAGAGACCAGGTTTTTAATGAACATCTAAATCATAGTAGGTCCTGAGTTTACGTTAGTTTAAAGGAAGGTGAATGACTTGAGATGAATGAATGGTTGAATAATGAATGAATATTAGCTTTTCTTGATATAGATCATAGCAAAACGTTATCACTAGAACATAGATTCCCAATTTAGATGGACACTACTGTTTGGCTCAATAGTGTAAGAGATGTCATAGAAGGAATTGTGGTGGATAATAATTTGAGGGCATACTGGGGTCAAGGAGTCAGACTTTTTTTTCCCTGCTGGTAATGGGGCTCTTTCACTCACCACCCACACTTGCCAGGCAAGTGTTCTAGCATTTACCTAAGCCCTTGTTTTATCCCTAGTGTCTTTTTTTTCTATTTTCCCCCAGATAAGGTCTTCATCGGGGCTCAGCCTCAGACCTCTTGTTTGACTTTTGTCCTCCTCTATTCTCCCCATCTTCCTATCTGTGCCTCCCCAGTAGCAGAACTTCTAGGCATGTAGCTCCACACCCAGCCCTGAAGAATCAGGCCTCTTGAGTTTTGTTTATTTTAAATATTTTTATTATTTAAATTATGACAAGGAACACAACACAATTTGGTTTTTAGATCCAAATTATTATAATAGGTATTGTAATTAATTATTACTATTAAAAAAAGACAAGAAGTTGGTGGCTTTGTTTTGGTGGTACTGGCATTGGAATTCAGAGGCCTCGTTCTTGCTCAGCTTACTTGCTTGCTCAGCTGGTACTCTACTCTACCAGTTGAGCCATGCCTATAGTCCTGACTTTGGAGATGGAGTCCCTTCCCTGCCTGAGGTGAGTTCAAACCTTGATCCTTTGTATTTCAGCCTCCTGTTATGGGTGTAAGCTGCCAGCTCCCAATTTTGTTCTTATATGAGATTCAACATTTGGCTTTTTAAAATTGGCATATACAGTATGAACTTATTTGTGGGGGGTAGTATTATAATTCAACACATGTTTAGAATCAAAAATAATCAGATCAGAGTAGGTAATATTTCCATCTCCTAAAATATTATTATTCCTATGTGTTAGGAACCTCTAAACTCTTCTGCACCCCTCTCCGCTGCCCACCTGCTCTCCCTCTTCCAGAGGTCCTGCAAATTGTTACAATTCTACCTCTCCAGTGCCACCTTCTGTCCACATTGAATTACACGGGAAATTTATTCTTGTTTCAAATGGAAAATTAAATCATGTTAGAGAAAAAAAAATTGTCAATCAGCAGTTCTTCACCAAGAGAGTAAGGCTCTTGAATCACATACAAACTAACATTTTATTTACTGTGGACATGCTTTATTCTTTCAGATTATACTGAAGAAAACAAACTGTTGAGCAGTTTAACCAATACTTAGTGAGTACCTATTTATGAACAGCATTACAAATGACCGTTTTGAATATAAATAGGATATTGCTGTCAGAGACAAGATAACCATCATTCTCAAACTCATCTAAATAAATCACAACAAAAGATTAATTTTGGAGTCAAACTAACACATTTGGAGGAGATTTTCTAGATTCATCTGATTTTCTAGAGGTTGTGACTCCCAAAAGCGTAGGATTAACCCTCTTAAGTCATGAGGTAGCCACATCCCAGCCCTGAGCTCACAAAAGTACACATAACATGTTCATTCATACACATAACAAATTCACATGCACATATTCTTAGAAGCCCACACATTTCCACACACACACACACACACACACACACACACACACACACACACACACACATACTCATACTAACACATTCTTATATGCCCATAGTCTCTCAAGCTTACACAGCAGTTACTAGCAAGCATTACAGAGGGATCTGGAGGTTAGGCATCTAACTGCTTGGGGTAGGCTGGAGAGATTTCATGAAAGCATTAGTTTTCAAACTTAAACACACCTGTCAGAATCCCCAGAAGGGCTTACTAATATGCAGGCTTGGCTCCACCCAAAGTTCTGATGCAGCATGTCTGGGGTAGAGCCAAAGAGCAACAAATCCACAGGTGTTGCTGCCACTGGTCTGCAGACCACATGTTGAGAACTACTGATATAGATGATCTTCCATCTCCTGTGTTCCACTATTTAAATTGGTCCTTGTTGAAACGTGGACTAAGTACCCATCTTATCCACCAGATTTAATCCCAAATATCTCAGATTGCTTTCAAGGGACTGTGCATCAGCCTGGAAGGTAATTTCTAAGAAGACCTCCCACATTGTCTTGTAGGTAGATGAGGCCTTGGCCTCAGCTCAGTCTTGGCAGGTTTGCTCAGAAATTCCTTGTCCTCCACAAGGACCCAGCAGCCTCCCTGCCTATGTCCTGGCTGATGGAGAAGTCATTCTTCTCCTCTAGCAGAGGTGATGGCTTGCACTGAATCATCTCCTCTCCCTGAAATCTATTAAGAGTAGCCAACAGTGAGAGCTGGTAGGATCAAGCTTGCTCCATTTATACCTCGGTAATGGGACTTCTTGGTGTATAAGCCCACAATTGCTATAGGAATTGTCCCCCTGTGTCACTGCTATAACTAGCAATGAACAATATTTCTCCTACAGAGAGCGAGAGAGAGAGAGTGAGAGAGAGAGAGAGAGAGAGAGAGAGAGAGAGAGAGAGAGAGAGAGAGAGAGAGAGAGAGAGCTTGACTTTCTCTTCCTAAAGGATTCTTGATGCTGTACCTTCCATGCCAGGGATTGTTAGGATAGATAGTTCTTCTTATAGGCTATTTAGCCTATTCCAGGTTGAGGGCATGGCTCAAGTAATAGAGCACTTGTTAGGTCAAGGCCCTAAGTTCAAACCCAATACTGTCAAAATTAAAAGTTTATTTGCTCTGACATCCTCCTTCAGGGACACACCATACATTACCCTTCTTTCTACCCACACAGAGATTTGCACTTGGTCTCACCCCACTACTTAATTTTATTGAACCCACTCTCTGATTTCTTTTGACCTCACTCTTGCCTATGTAATCCAGACATTTTCCTCCTAAAGTTAATAGCCCACATTCACCTGCAGTGGGATGATAAATGAAGAAACCACTGGCTGCTTCAGATAGAGCCCAGCCCCACAACAGAGAACTCATTCTCCCAATTCTTACTATCATTGCTCTTGGGCTCCCCCTTGTGGTTGAAAACCCAAGCAGGCTAGGTATTTGCCATGCATAGGAGCCCGATTCCAGGGCTCTTAAAGACATTACCTGTAGGGACTGCAGGTAGTTAGGACATCTTCCTGATTGCTTCTTCCTAGGACAAGAGGGACCCAAACTGGAGCTGGCATCAGTAAAGTCAGAGCTGCAGACGAGGGATCTTAGGTTTAATCCAGCAGGAGTGCTTTAGGGGAGTGGTCTGTACTCTGGAGACATTTTCTTGGGGAACTGGGCCATCTACCCTTTCCCCTAGTCTTTGGATACCACAGGCTATAATGATAGAAATGATGAGGATAGCTACCTACATTGCAATTACAAAATAATACACATTCCTAGTAACTAGTGGGATACAGAGCAAACACATTTAACCACCTGTC